TCAATACCCATTGAAGTGTATGGGTGGAGAACTTCCAGGGTCAAGCTCAGGTTTCCTAAAAGTGCTTCCATTTATAGATTGTGAACTGCAAAAGGATCTGGAATGTCATTTGAGTCTGATTCATTTTTTCAGATTGAAGTAGCAGCTAGAATGTCAGCTGGGATCTCAGTGCAAAGTACGATTCGAAAGCCATTATGAAAGACTTGTGCCAGTTCCTTCTGTTTACAAGTGAATAATAGTAACAGTGTGAAGAAGAAAGTTGTTTAAAAACCTCAAGCCCTACAAAAATGCCCCAGCATACTATGTCTTCAGGGCTGTCCCTGGCGGGGGGGGAAGGGGGTGTGAATCGGGGTGACTGCCCTGGGGCCCCTGCTTTGGGGGGGCCCTCGCAGATAGCGCTGTGGCTGGTGCACGCTGCTAGCTCTGCTGCGGCTGTCATGTGCTGCCAGCTCCATGCTCTGGCCGCTTGCTCCTCCCTCCTCTCCCCCCCGCTCACCACTCCCTGGCCCCACATGGGCTGATATGCCGTGGGCCCCGCACACCCCTAGAGATGGCTTGGCATGTCTTATCCTAATGATAAAGTAAAATTCAATCAATCTGCATGAAGCTGAGGGATTTAGACATTGGGAAGCCTAAGGTACCAAAATCTAAACCATTCCAGAACTGCCTAAAATGCATATGGCCTGCTTGGCCTGAAAGCACTCTGGTTGCCTGCACTCTGGAGTTCTGCATAGGCATAGACCTATTTTAGGACAGGCAGTTAAGTGCCTAGGTATCCAGAAGCAGGGCAGACCAGCACCTAATTTTTCAGAGGGGAAGCTTGCCCCACTCAGGGCAGCATTGGGCCCCTAAATTGGATCTGTTTTAAAATGCTCCGATCACAGAATTTTGCATCAAACAGATATTGGCTATAAAACAGGACTAGTTGTGGAAGAAATGACTGGAAGCCACAACCCATCCCACCCAGGTGAATGGCCTCTCCACTAGGCAAGTCACATGCGGGACTTTGTACTCTTGCTTCCTGGTTCCATTAATTTTACATTGCTTTTTGCACAGTGACAGATAGGGCCATCAGTCCTCTTTAAGCTGGACCATCCTGTTTGTAAACGCTTTGTGTCCTGTCTGTTTCCGAATGAGGAACAGACAACAACAAATATCCGGTTTTTCTGTTTATTGGTGGAAATGCATGGTAATCATTGGTCCTTGTGACTCTATTGGCTATGCCTAGAAGTAGGGCAATGTACAGCCAGGAGGAGATGGCTTCCAAGCCAGCCAGCCAGGGAGGGAGGTGGTGGCCCCACCCCTTGCTGCTGATTGGCTGAGGCACAGCCCTACCACTCACCACTGATTGGCTGAGGGGGCCCACCCCTCACCAGGGGTTGTTCTGTATCCTGTGTCAGTGGCCACCCTAGTAAATGAGCATCCACAGGAGGGGTGGGGAGAGAGGATACACCCCCTACCCCCCTGCATTTTAGTTTTTAGTTTGGTGCTAAGGGCTCTTCCCCAGCTGGTAGAGTGAGAAACTCCCTCAGCTTGAAAATAGAATTCAACTGGGGGGTCTTCCAATTTCTGGCTGAGCAAGGCTAACCACTAGGCTATGAAAGATGAACAGTTCCATCACCATTGCCTCCTCCAGGGGCTGTACTTCAAAAAGAAAAGAGAAAACTCCTCTCAGCTCTCTGAATGAACCGTTTAGAGGCATCTCCTCTTGGGAGAGGACTTCAGCCTTTGGGTAGACTCACATCTGCTTGCAGACACATAAGCTCTAGAGAGGAATTGAAATTTGGATAAATTTGGATCGAGACCTCTGCGTAGCATTTCTTAATGCTCCAGGCAGCTCCCCACTTGATATGCTGGTTATTTCATCCTGTTCTTAGATGCCTCACACCAAGTTTGTATTCCACTTCAGAGACCAGGTGCTTGATGTTATTGCTGCAATGCTAACTTGCAGTCAGCTAAATTAGCTTTTATTACGTGTGTTCCTAAATAGCTAGGATTTATTTAAACCACCAAGCAAATGGAGTGGGGATGGAATCCACTATTCTGGTCCCATATGGGTCCCCTCCATGCTGGCTATATCATAAACTATGCTATAAACTAACTTAATTACTACCGCTTCTCAGCCTTATACTACAGCTTTAGGAGTATGTTATAGCTTTTTCCCCCAAGTCCACCTCTTTATATGTGTCAATGGATAAACATGCTTGGGGTCATGTGTGTGGCTGAGCTCTTCCATTCACACCCCTCATCCTAACTCCGGGCTTATTTTACTCACAGTTAATCTTAAAAAAAAAATAAATCACTCTTGGGACATATCTAAATTTAAAAGCAAGAAACGTTCAAGCAATTTGAGCTACGTTCACATCTCCCAAGTCAGTTCCTCCCCTGGTAGCTTTATCATCTTTATTTTTACTCTATGCTTATAGGACTTCACAACAAACACTGGTGAAACAGAAATCATAGGATGCACATGCAAATAGTTGTGCTTGTATTCAACAGAAGTGCCAGACATGCTTGAAAGAACGTCTTTGAAGGGACATTTCCTATATAAGTGACAGTCTGATTCATCAAAAGCTGCTATCATCAGTCAGATCACCCCTTGATGCAAGTAGATCTGTGGGATCTAGCCAGAAGAAAAAGAACCTCTGTGGTTCCTCTCAGTAAAATCTCTCTTATGATTGTTCCTTCATGGCTTGGGGTTTGCCTTTTCCACTGGACAGGTAGCCCAAGGCTTATGTCTTTGATAGAACTTAAAAGTATACGTGCTTCTCCCTACACGCTGTCATAAACTCACTATCCTGTGCCAATTATCTCTCAATTTAGAAACAGTGAGCTGAGGATACGTGCACACACGTCAGCAGAACAAAACAGTGGGAATACCAGTGTGTTATAGTAATAGCAATAAAGTTAAAATGCATTGTTATGCATACTAAGCACATTCCTTCATTCAGACAGGAGAGGATTAATCAACTGTAGTTTTGCAACAGGGAAGAAACATTTTTCTTGGTCGTAGCAACAGAACATCTGCAATGTTTCCTTTTTGTGAGCTGAGTAAGAGTTTGGCCAGTTTATTCTGTGGAAGATAAAGGCAGATGACCTAAAATGAGATCATCCTAGGGGAAGTGTATAGAGGTGGCTATCATTCTTTATAGCAACCATATAGCAAACCATTGTGTGTGTGTTATTTTATACTATATTGTTTTACTCTAATACTTTACATTAGAGAAAGACAGAAAACCAGACAAGTGTTGCTGATAAGAATTTCTTTTTTATGTTATTCCAATAAAAAATACATTCATACAGAAATATAACAATCTTGCAAAAAACAATTTCAAATAAAATCTTGTAAAACAAAATCTTTACAAAAATCTTACAAAGAGATTCTTTAGATAACAGGGTGCTTCAAAAACAAAAAAAGGAAAATTTCACTAATAGAAACTTTTTCTTCTTAAATTTCAAGCAAAATGTTTTATTTTTTTTTCAGCTTGATTGAGGCTCAGTTATCACCTGAACAGAATGTACTTGCTTATTATGAAAATGACAGGCATTTGACATATGGCACACAGCCCCACCCCATCCAAACAAGTCTGATGGTATTTCACAATTGAGACAAGCCAGTGCAAGTTTTTTTGTGTTTTTTTTCACTTTAATTTATCAGAAATTTTATGGCTAAGCAAATAACACTGCAAATAAGGAGCTTAAAAACAAAGAAAGAGAGTAAATCTATTTTCTGGGAATCGTTTGTGTTCCAAAAAAAAAAAAAAAAAGAAAAAAGAAAAAAGAAAAAAAAAAGTGCATTTTCAGGCATTCTAAAACAAAAATAAAAAGAGAATGATTTAGGGCTGCCTGTTTCTTGGAACCAGGTAATTTGCATATACTGTTTTTAAATCACTAATCTACATACGTTTCCAGGAAGATGTGCCAAAATATTAGCATAGTAAGCAAGACCAAAAATAAATAAATAAAAAAATAATATGGACCACATGGTTAATTGCATCCAACTGTGGTGAGCTGTTTTTTTTTTTTTTTTTTAAAGTTTACTGCTTTTTGACAGACTATTTCTAATCTAAGAGGAAACAGCCTTATGTTCTTTATTTTAGGTGTACTACTTAAAATTAGAACTTAACCTCCACAATAATTAGCTCACTTACAGATCCTCCAACAATCTTGAAGGCCAAAATCTTAACGTACTTCATCTGTACCCAACTAATATTCTTTCAGCATGCCAATATTTGTCCATGCCATTTTTTAATGGCCACAGATATGCTATTCCAGACAACCTAATAACTACAAAACACAGTCAGCAGTCTGAGAAAGACTGAATGCCAACAAAGCCTTTAGCAAACCATTAAGCTAAAGGTAAAGCCTCTAAAATGCTAGATTTTAATAGCTGTATCTTTCATTTCTTTGTCTCCTTTATGGCCATATTGGGGGAAAAAAATCTTCACAGGCTGTGGCATTTTCTAGCTACGTTTTCTAATTTATTTTTCCCTTTAAAAAAATATTTATATATTATCTCTATATATACACACATACACAGACTGTACACACAAATATACATACACAAGAATTTTTCTGCCCACTTTTAAAAAAAAAAAGTATCATAATTTCTTTCTGTATGACCAACAGATAGAAATTATGATACTTTT